CAGCGAAGTTCCTGAAGTAAAAAAAGAAGAGATGAAGGTATGTATGAGCATAAGGAATTATGGAACGTCAGGCCAGAGAAGGAGATCTCTGGGTACAATGGAAAAAAGACCAGAGACTAAAGATCTGGTTCTAGTTCTGATTATATCACTTACTGGTCACATGAACTTGGTGCAGGCTATCTTAAACTGAGGTTTATGAAGTTTGTTTGTAATTCCCATTTGGTTGTAAGAAATAATACACATGATATAGATGTAAAGATGCTCTATATGCTCAAAGGTGTCACATTATAATGTAGATGTCATGCTTTAGGAAATGAAAGGTGGTACTGGAGTCATGGAATTACTTATATTCTAATATCCATATAGACCAGAATAAAAATTGCACTGGATACAAGAGTTCTGCTACCATACCTAATGTTCACTGAAACCTTTCCCTTTCAGCTCTCTGCAAACCAGAATTTTTTGGTCTCTTGGCTAGCCTTGGCTCATTTTAGAAAGCTTAGCTTGACATCTCTAACAAAGCCTCTGAAATTTGGGAGAAGAACCTTTGTGGTTTGACTTGACTCTGACATTCTTGATAAGCCAAAAACCAGAGCCCATCCCATTAGTTTTACAGATGACATGATAGAAATTATTTTTATTATCAGGTGTGACTTCTGCAATGTGATCCTGAGCCATTCTGGGTCAGGTGCCAGGGCTAAAGTGGGAGAGCAAAAGGACAGTGAAAACCTTTAGAACGACCAGTGAGTATCTCCTTAAATTGACATGACAATGAACAGACATTGGTGGCAATATTATGCCATCAAAATTTGTCACCTTGAATATCTCAACCCACATGCTTGTCTCTGGACCTGAGGGAGGATGACAGCTAGCTAGCTCAGTTAACTGCGAATGGAATTCGGGTCTTAAAGCCCAGATCCTCCACTGCTGGGCAATCACTAGGAGACAAAAAGGGATTTGGAGCAAGCAGTCTGAACTCACGGTCTGGGGTGAGGGCTATCTCAGTGCTGAGGAGGCAACCACAGCAGGGAAGAAAATAGACGAGGGAGAGAGTAGCATCACAAGAGTTTCTTGGTCTCCTTAGCCCTCTCCACCCCTGCACTCTCTCACTGTAAGTAGGGGAAGGAATGATCTGTTCAAGCCCCACCCTGAGTGCTGCTACGGCTCCACTGAACTCACTCTGAGCTCTGGACTCCGGTTAAGGCACCAACCTCGTCTCCTTCCAGCCACCATCAGTCATCACTGGTGTTGATATTGCCATGAACCATCATTTGCAGGAAACCAGCTTCACAAAAGACCAGCCTACAAGACGTACATCAAAGATTATATGAAATCAATCAAAGGGAAACTAGAAAAACAGAGACCAGAAAGAATGAAGCTTTTTATGACAGGAGCTGCAGAACAAATGGAGCACATCCTTGCTAATTTCAAAAACTGCCAGTTCTTGATTGGTGAGAAAACATGAATCCAGATGGAATGGTTGCTCTGCTGGACCTCCGTGAGGACAGTGCAACCCCATATACGGTTTTCTGTTAGGATGGTTTAGAATGGAAAAAGATTAACAAATGTGGTAATTTGGATCTATCGCCTGTCATCATATCTGGCTGCTGCTTTTCATCCATACAGCAGGACTTGGATAAATGAGACTGATGTTATCTTAAGCTCTTCATTTATTTTGGCCTTGATTTATTTCAAGTGGAGGCATTGTTTTTAAGAAAAAAGAAAAACATGTCATATAGGTTGTCTAAAAAGAAAATGCATTTAAACTACAAAAAAAAAAAAAAAAAAAAAAAAGGCGTGCCCTGGCTGGGGTGGCTCCGTTGGTTGGCTGTCATTCCACACAGCCAAAGGTCCCTTCCTGGTCAGGGCACGTGCCTAGGTTGCAGTTCCGGGAGACCCCCCACCCCATTTGGGGGAGTGCAAGAGGCAACTGATCAATATTTCTCTCACTTAGATGTTTTTCTCCTCTCCCTCTGTGTCCTTTCTCTCTCTCCCCACCCTCTTTTTGTCTGGGGGAAGATAAAGCAAGTGAGAGAAGAGGAGGGCACAGTATTGAAGCTCTAGAGGTATCTTTTTCCTCTTCTGAATTTCTTTGTAATTCACTTTTTGGACCAGAAACTCAGCCTTTAATGTGTCAGATTTGTTTTTCTGTGGGATAGCTTTTCTTCTCAACTAACGACATGCTCTCTGTTTTACATCTCTCTTGGTTCCCACATAATAGATACTTCAAGGGTCTGGTTGATTGAAGTGATTGCATATGTTCTCTCAGGAGGGCCAGTCTTGAGGTCTGTTTCCATGACAAAGTCCTGAAAGTGACTCAGCTTTACATCCAGTCATCCTGCCTGGTTGTTGCCAATGAAAGAGGCTCTATTTACAGGGACTCTGGTCACCTCCCACCTGCCTCAGCCGAGCTTGTACATACATGCTGGCTGTTCCTGTCTTGGTCTTTCGGGGAGAAAGAGCATGGGAAGTGCATACAGCTGTGGTTTGGAACTTAGAGACATTTCCCTGGGGCTATTGAATATTAGAGAATTGTCCTTCAGATTCACCTTTTGCTAAACAACTACACTGGAAGTTCCAGGGGATGTTCACTCCAAGTGCTACCTTTATCCTCAAACATTACTGAATCACAAATAGACGTTGTGCTATGAAGATGGGCAGAGTTTGCCAATCCAGAATATGCCGCTTCAGGATATTGGTTATTTTAGGTTGGTTCATTTTATGAAACAGCAGACCTGGGAGAAGTCTGAAAACCAAGAAGTTACCATAAAAGGACATTTATATTTGTAAGGGAATCTCCATTTGTAAAGGTGTCCCCTTCACTGTTCCAGGTCTGCCTTCACTATCAAAGGAGAAGGCATGGTCTTAAATCTGCATAACAGTCTTACCCTTGCTTACTGTTCTTGTCCTGGTAAACTCCCATAACTGACTCTGTACCCCCGACACCTCTGTCTTTAGACGAAGGTTGTATTTAAAAGGCGGTGGCTTCCACCAGTTTGGTTACTCAGCTTTCCTGGGTCTCTCCCATGTATATGGAAGTGTACATATTACTAAACTTTAATTTGTTTTTCTCCTGCTAATCTGTTTTGTCTTTGGTTATTAGTTCAGCCAGAAGACGAAGGATACAGAATAATTTTTCCTCCTGGATATGCTACAGACTGAGGATTGGAAGTTCCCACTTTTGAAGCTTCACAGTGAAGTTGGGGGAACAAGATTTTACACTCAAAAGTGAGTCTGTCCATATCAGTGAGTGGGGCCACTGTAAATTCTACTAAAGCTTCAGGGAAGGTGGTGTTGCTTAGGGTTGGGCTGGTCCAACAACGCTTCATAGAACCTGAAATGGACCTTGCAGAAAGGGTCAAACTTGGCCAACGAGAAAAGAAAATGTGTTGAGGGGCAGTGAATAAACTTATTTTAGCTGGAGCACAACGTTGAAAAAAGGTTTTGGAAGACCTTGAGTTCAGATTTACAGTTTATATTTTAATCAGTAAGTACTGGGAAGCCATTAAATATTTCTGTCCAGGTGTATAGATGTATAAGAGAATTTTGTAAAGACTATTTGGTAGTAGGGGAGAGAATGGCTAGGGCAGGGTGAGGGAGCCTGGAGTCCAGGGAGCTAGTTGAGGAAAATTTACAATAGTCCAGTAGACACAATTGGACTAAGGTGGTAATAGAGAAGGGAAAACATAGCACTCTGTTCTGTGAACTTGTCTTGAAACAGCATTTGCATGTTATTAATTTGATTTTAAAATGTCTGGAATGCTTTTGTACCTCCACTTTCTCCATCGTCTCCTGATCATTTTTCTCAGGAGTAACAGTGGAAAATAAAACTACATTATTACCTTCTGAATGACCTGAGGAAATTCACTCTGCTCCTTTGGACCTTAATTATATCATTTAAATCAGATATTGCTTTACCTGCCGGAAGGCAGAGAAATGGAATACTGCTGGTCTTGATGATCTTTTCAACTTGAGTGACTTATGTTTTTTGATTTTTAATTCTTTTTCAGAACTCTTTACCATCTACTTGCTCCCAACAGCTATTTCATCGTAGTCTGGGAAAAGTTACTTGGGGTTCATCCTGGGGGCCACATAACTTCCCAAGGGATGTGTTTGAGACTGCGAAGGAAGCATCTTTAAATCCGTCCTGGAAGAAGGAACTATGGCTGAATTAAGGTAAGTGGTCATTGCCTCCCAACTAATAATTTCTACTCCTGTTACCTAAAGTAGGGAATAGGGTCGGTGTAGGCCACGAATGGCCCTGAAACCAAAACCTCAGGCGTCACCACAACACGAGACCCCACTCGCGCCCCGCATCTACCCAGCTTCACTTTTGCTTGGGGAGCAACACGATTCAGTGCCTGAGAGGTACCTCAGTTTTCTTCAGTCATGCAGAGTTCAGAGCATAATTCGCCCCCACCTGGACCCCATCCATCCCTAGTCGGCGGCGGCTGCGAGTTACCAGCCCTGGGGCCTCATCCCGTGCTGCACCCGGTCTCCTTCTTAGGTCTCCTGGGGGCGGGGCCCACCTGTGCCCTGGGGGCGGGGCCTGGGCGGGGGCGGGACAGGTGGGTGCGCCGCCAACGCTAGGGCTGGGAGAAAGCCGGGGCGGGAGGGGGAGAGAGGAGGGGCCGGTTGGCGTGCACCTCAGGAGCCTCCCGGGGGGCAGTGTGTGAGAGCAAGCCGAGAGAGAGGGGGAGACAGCGCGCCTGCGACTGGGAAAGGCGTGGAGAGGAGAGCCGCGCGCGGAGGACATTCGGGGAGGAGGAGCCGGGCTCCGCTCCTGTAGAGACCTGGGGCTGGCGCGCGGCGCTAGTGCTGCTGACCGACCCCTGGCGCGCGGAGCATGAGCCCGCGTCCTGCTGGAGCGCGGCCGGGGGAGACGGCCTCGGCTCAGCCCTGAGACGCTGGGCTGGGGTTGGGTCCTCGCGCGCCCGGGGCGCTGGGCCCGGCCGTGGGACTGGGGCTGGGGCTGGTGGCGGCCGCCCGGGCGCAGCGCTATGGGGAGTCCCCGCGCCGCGCTGCTCCTCCTGCTCCTGCGCCCGGTCAAGCTGCTGCGGCGGCGCTTCCGGCTGCTGCTGGTTCTCACCGTGGTGTCCGTGGGGATCTGGACTCTTTATTTGGAACTGGTGGCGTCGTCCCAGGTCGGCGGGAATCCCCTGAACCGGAGTAAGTAGCACCGGGCGGGGGGCGGGAGAGGTCGCGGAGGTGAGAACGGGTAGTATCGCTGGCTCAAGCACTCTGAGGAGCCGACTCATCCTCAGACCCGATTTGGAACTCGTTTTCGTCTCCAGGTGCCCGGCGCCGCCCCACTGCCTACCGGGGGAGGAAGGGCCAAGGCCGGGCCTGGCCGCCGGGACACATGGGGTCTGGGCATCCTCGGGGCTGCTTGCTTCTCCTTTCGGAGGGCGAGGGGAAGAGAGGCTCCCCTCGTCCTGTGGAAATGCTGGCCCAGACTTGGGGCACTTCCAGAGGCGCTAGGCTTGCAGTCCCCCGGGAGGAGACACGCGCGGTCCACACGCGGGCTGTAGATTTGTGTCTAGGATGCCCTCGGCGGTCTCTACTGAGGCCACGCGCTCTCGTCTGCGTGGCCCAAACTTTGCTCATCGCTTTCTCTAGGGCTCACTCACTCCATTCTCTTTCCGGGTGCATTTTCCGCGGTTCTTTATTTTAACAATACCTCTTAGAGCCACCTCTCCTCCCCCTTCCCGTTGCCACGCCACTCCCCTCCCAGCCCCTTCCTCTTCCTCCAAGTCTCCCACCTCCTCATTGAGCCGTCCCCTCTCCTAGTCCTGGCCATTCCTACAGCTAGTTATCTGAAGCCCTCCTTGGGAACCCTGCCGAATTTACCAACTCCCCGGAATTCACCAGACTCCCCGGACCCTGCTCAAAGAAACAATGCACAGCACAGTGGACCACTTAATGCCTTTTAACTTAGCCAAGGCTACTTAATTTTTCTGTGCCTCAGCTTCCTTCTAGGAAAATGGAGAGAGAATGGTCTCTCTCTCATCACCGCCCTCCCCCCCCACCCCCCGCCCCAACAGGAATGGCTATCCGAGATGATTTACAATTTACTATTGATGGAACTAACAAGTAAAACTCTGGAAGTGTCAGGGACTATAAAAGGTCTATGTAATAGCTGGAAGAAGTGGAGAGAGACTGCCAGAACTACCAGATTCCCTTCCCTAGCCCAAGGGCAGAGGTTCACAGGTCTAGCACATCTTCTCTCATGCCTGCACCTTCCTTTCCCAGGAAACTGAAGGAATAACTGATGAAATTACTGGTGTGAAGATTCTTTGACATGTCCTTTAGTCAGATGCTTTGCCCAGAGTTGGGTGTGGTGCTTTGTCTTCTCTAACTGAAGGGGGGAATCACTAGGGTCTGTAATTGAGCTGATTCAGGGTAGAGATAATGTTTATGGTGGAACCTCTCACTGTATTGCAGTTGAAATAATTCTGGTTGTGAGTTGGGAGACTGAGGTTACAATCCTGGTTCTCTCTGTAGTAGTTGGGGAATCAAGGGAAAAATGGCAGCTTCTTGGGTGGAAGGAGGGGGTTGGGCCAAATGATCTCCAAGGTTTATTTCAGAGAGTTCAGCACATCATGAGGAAGACAGTTCTACAGCTCTAAATAAGAGAGTTTTTCCTTCTGAGGACCCAAATCTGTCTTCCCGTAGCTAGTTCTTCCCTTCTGTGAACCTTCTTTTTACCTCTGAAAGACAGAATGAATTTACTCTTCCATACCCTTCATAGCCCCAAGTGGATGAGCCCACTTGGAGCGTGTGCAGGTGGGGCGTCCTGGGAGAGACCTTCCTTCTTTTCTCCTTGGGGCACCCCTTCTCAGTATTATTAATGTGGTAGCCAGTGGGAATCTCTGCACAAATTAAAAACAGAGGAAGGCAGTGGTTTTGTGACCCTAAAATCAGTAACCTCCCTTCTTCTTCCCCACCCCCCAACACATACTTTTACCTCTAGTGTGCTTTCTCCGCAGAGGCCAGAAGCAGGTTGCCATAATCAAATTTCATACTCTGGCTCCGGTTGGCTGTCTCATCTTTAACCATCAATTCTTGGGTCTGTTCGGTTTCCCTTTTAGAAGAATCTTAACTCTGACTGGGTTTCCTTATTCTTTGTTTCCTTTTCCATACTCACTCTCCTCCAGAAAAATGTTCCCAGGTTCCTATTCCAGAACTGGCTTTCTGTTTCCTTAACCATCATTTTTAATGAGAGTTCAAGCTTGGACACTGATGGATCACTTAGAACCCTGAAACCCATCTACTCTATAGGGTGACTTTTCACACTGGTCATCCCATTGGGTTCTACTTTTTTCTGTGATTTCCTTTTGGAATGAGATTTAGGCAGTGGCTGTGGTTTGTGGCTCCTTGTCTCCCATCCTTCTTTGTATATAAAAAGCCCAGACATCTTGTATCAAAGACCCCTTGTCCTACTCCCAGCTCAGAGCTATTCCTCTGAAGGCAGAGCAGGGGAGGAGGAATTAGGAAGGAGAGAGGTAGGAAGGGAGTTGCTGGCATCCCTCCTCTACACCCTGGCCAATCCACAGCAGCCAGGGTAGTAAAACTTCTCCTCTCAGGACTGTACCCGTGGCCTTGACCACAGCAACCAGAGTCCCATCTTAGTTGGCTCTGCTTCCCAACAAGCCACCCTGCCTCCTCCCTCTAGCAGTCCCTGCCAGCTCACTCTACCAACAGCTTTCCTGTCATCTGTAAGGCTACCCTTCATTATGAAGAACCTTTCATTTGCCTGTCCCTGTGTGACTGGTTCAACAGTCTGGTGCTGGAAGAAGTATATGGAGAGATGGCAGTCACAAACTGTAGGGTGGCAAAGTAATGACAGGGGAGCAGGCTTCCTGCTTCATCTTTATGGAATAGCACAGTAGTTTAAGATATGGATGGTGTGCAATTTGGGCTCTATATGTAAAAAAAAGATGCAACCACAATTGGAGTAACTTCAGAGAAAAGCAACCAAAATCATTAACAGACAGAAAATGGGTCCCTTAGACAAAATAATCAGAACTATTCATTCAGTCATTTCAACAAATATTTATTTAGCACATACCTTGAGCAAGGCATCGTGCTATGTGACTTAGATATAACGATGACTAAGGTTATGGTTTCTGCCCTCTCAACAGCTTTCTCTCTAGGAGGGGAGTTCAGTGCACATATACAAATAATCATAATATGAAACTGTCATTAAGTTTTACAAATGTAGAATCTAGATGTTGTTGTGACACTTCTGGTAATGGGACACAGCTCTTTGAATTAATTTCATGGAAATGGTGACATTTCAGGAGATCTTGAGAGGTTGATAATATTTTAATGGATACAGAAAGAGGAGGCTACTTTAGTCAGAAAGAGCAGTGTAAGCAAGGACCAAGAGGCAGTGTTTGGGAAGGCTGAGCCTCTGGGTTTGTTGCAGAGGGTATGAGGGAGAATAAGGAATGGTGCTGTATTATGAAAGACTTTGAATCACAACCTTTGAGAATGGCATTTATAGATAATAGCAGTTGAATGTTTTAGAATAGGGTAGACATATAGAGTGGAACAGGCAAGGATAATAACAAAACAACAATAGTTTGCTAGCGATGGTGCCTACACAGGGTACTAAAGGTCCCTTGCTGTGGCTGGCATTAGCCCATTAGCTGCTGGGTCATGAAGTGCTCCTGGGGACAAGGTGGTAGTGGGGCATTCAGAGGGCCTGGGGTAGTCACTCTATCCCAACTTGTTCATAACTGTTTCAAGTATTTTAATAACTGGTATAGCTGTATCAGCTTATCCTGGCTGAAAAACAGTCCTGGGAACAGACTATTATTGGAAGTTAAAGATTCTCCATTCTGGCAGATTTTAACATGTTATACCCATTTGCTCAGATTGAGTTAGCTAAGTCCCTTCTGAGGGCAGAGGTCTGGACTAAAACGGTTTCTAGGTTCTTTGCTCTATAATTGGTCTGCTGGGACCAACTTGATGCTGGAGCCAAGAGATCGCATTTGGGCACAAAGCCAGGGCTGAATGACACCGTGCACCAGCTTCTTTCTAGGTCTCCCAAGGCTGGGTCTGGTATGTCCCCTTTTAAGTGCTAGGTTTACCTGCTGAACCCCAGGTGTTCTTAAGCTCAGGAATTAATCAGCTTTCCCTGCCTTAAATCTGTAACAGATCTCTCTGGTTGGCTCTTATGATTTCTAATTGACTTTGAGTGGCTGAAGAGGCACACCCGCAGATGTCAGGCAGACACTTCAGCTCTTGAGGTCACCACAGCCATTCTGATTAGGAAAGGATACAAACCCTGCAGCAACAGAGGTAACTCTGGGCAGAACAGTAATCTGAGACACAGGCAGAGAGAGAGGGAGAAACAAATGAGACAGATTATGTGGGCAGAGCAAGGATGGTGTGGCTTAGAGTTGAAATTTGGAGCACAGGCGAGCTGGAGAAAGGAAGCACAACTGCTTCATGTGTGCCTTGCGGCCTGGGACTCTGTCTCTCTCTGCCCCGGCTGGGCTGGTCCTCTTTCCCACGCTACCTCGGGCTCCTGTTCCTGTGTCCTACCTACTTGACTTTTGCCATTCTGGTCACCTAGCTGCTGCATGTAACTTCAAATCAGTATTCAAATCTGGTGACATACTAGGCACTCAAACAAATACCTTCTGGTTATGGATGGTAAGCTTAGCATTTCTGAGCACTTGACAGTTTAGTTTCCACTGGCAGATGCTTTGTTTATCAGTGACCAATCTATGAATAGAACCTAGGAATTATTGTTCTATATACCATAATACATAGAAACAATAGACTTTAAACATGAATGCAAAGGATAAGAATTAAGCCATCACCCTGGCTGGTGTGCCTCAGTTGGAGCGTCGTCCAATAAACTGGAAGGTTGCAGGTTTGATTCCTGGTCAGGGCATGTGCCTGGGTTGCAGGTTCTGTCCTCAGTCGAGGTGTGTGTCAGAGGCAGCTGATCATGTTTCTCCCTCACATAGATGTTTCTCTCCCTCTCTCTCTCCCTCCCTTCGCCTCTCTCTAAAATCAGCAAGCATGTCCTTGATGAGGATAAAACAATTAAGCCATCAATGCTTTTTTTATTATAAATGTTTCTTTGGTCCTACCACTGTGTACCAGGAATGCAGTGTGTGACAAGAGGAGACACCCAGATGTGGTGTCTC